AGAAAAATGATCAGTATGGAATATTTCTTAAAAGGCTGTCCTATTGAATCCTCTCAAAGTAAAAGTAATGCTGCATCAAATGTACAACATGTGAAGAAACCATTCTGGTATCTAAGGCAATAGAAACAGTTTCCATACGTTCAGATTTGTTATTATTATTTTTATTTATTACAGTTATAGCTTGCCTTTTTTCCTTTCAAGGAACTCAAAGTGTCTTACATAATCTTTCCCCTCCTACTCTCAATGTTATCCTGAAAACAGCCCTGTGAGGTATTAGGCTGAGAGACAGTAACTGTCCCAAAGTCACCCAGCAAGATTTGTGGTGGAGTGGGGAACAGAATCCGAATCTCCCAGATCTTGCTCTACCACTCTAACCCTGCACTACACTAGCTCTCAATAATATGCATAATATGTATTAAAATTCTGAAATGCATGCATGTTGGTGTGTTTATAGATGTGCATGTGTATAAACAATTTATAATAATAGTTAATAAATGTAAATGTTTCTCAGAAAAAGAAGAAACCTGACCCTTGAACTTTAATAAGAGATGGCAAGTCACAAACGAGGAATAATTCATCTGAGTTAATCCTGACCAACAATTCTCTCAGATCTGCTCTTCTTCTTTTGCCACTGTTTCCTGATTTATGAAAGGACTGGTTCCCAGTCCATTGTACCAAGAACATAATCAAGAAAGTGGATGAGTGTCTGAATCTGTTATCAAGGCTAAGTGTAGTTTATCCAGAGGTATCTGTCACTTCAGTCCTGCAAAGGTGATACTAATTAATATTTCAAGCATAAGAACTAGCTCCTCCCTCTTTCACATTTTAAGCCAAAAAATGCACTTGGGAACCAAATCTGTATTCCAACCAGCCTTATTTCTTCAGCAAAGTGGTTAAACTGTATGAGGTAGTCCTAATCAGCATATTCAGGGTTTAGCATCAGGTTTAGCTAAGACTTTTTTTTAGTGTATGCCCTTGGTGCTACATTTTCTTACATTGTGTAAGCAGCTGATGCATGCTAATAGAATTTATGCTGTGTGTGGCACATATAAGAAAAACAGCTAAAAAGCAACTGAAAATATGGAAAAGAGGCAGAGAAGTTCATGGAAGGTTGATGCATCAATACATATTACTGAAGGTAACTGACAGAGCTTCCTATAGTTGTTGACAACAAAACCAAATTACTTTCTGCTTCTCAAAGATTATTGGTGAAAAGCTGGTGAAAGGCAAGGAAGTAATACCAGCAGACAGCAATCTGCAACCTCTCTGGATGCAGTATCTCGTGGCTGCCTGTATGTACTTATGGAGATACATACAAAAGGATACTGGAGTGTCTAGCAGATTCAAGGGAGGTTGGTTACAGAGAGATAACCATGCACTCTATTGCTACTGTAGCTGAGTTTTTGGCTAGAGAGTGTCGAACTGATGATTTACCACACACTAGCAGCATTTTTTCAGCATTTAAAAAGGTAGCAAATCAAATTAGGCATCTTAGAGAACAAGCAGTCCTCACATTTTTTAAAAAAAATTTCTAGACCACTGTAATCTAAAAATAATTTCCATGCAGTGAATAATGAGATATATGCCAAAATGCAAATAAATCCAACAATTTATAATAAATTTATGGCTGATCTTTTAGTCAGGGAATGCTATTAAAATAAAATTAAGCAATGTTGACTCTTTCTTGACGTTAACTAGCAGGGGATTCCAGAGAGGAAGCAAGTATAGCAAGACTTCATGTGGACTCCAAACAGAAATGAATTCTACAAGGAGCTTCCAGGAGTGCCTAGAAAGATTTCTTAGCCATGTCTTCAGTTCAGGCATTGTTTCAAGTCCATTGCAAGATCAGAGAGATGGCAATGGCACCATATTGTTATGAATGCATGCACAATATAATATTCAGCAAGTTTCTGAATCCAGTATTTCTCCTTCCATGTTAGGAGGGTTAAGCTTTTGTGATCCCAACTCATACTTCAAAGACAACAGCAGAAGACTGAAATACTTTTACCAGAGCTGCTGGCAGACATTTTGATCCTGACTTTGGAAGCTAAATTTCACTCCAGAAAGGTCATATTGAATTTCACCTTGTTTATCCTTCAGGAGATCCTGGGGACAGACGAATATAGTTATTTCTATTCTGTTGATATCCATTTCCATCCAGCTGAAATGTAAAACAAATAGCTATTAGCATTCCATTAACTATTTTAGTGTGTCAGTGCATTCAGCCTGATTTCTTTAATGTAGTGCTGATAAGAAGGAAATTATGATTTTTACCTTTATAGTTGTATGGAATTCAGGGAATGCAGCCTGGCCCAATGAAAACACACAGAATCCTGGGAGAAATGCCAGAAGGCTCACAATGGCAGACTGTAGCACCATTTTTTAAATGCAAAGCATTTCTGTAGCCTGTCCAAGCAGTTGCTAGCACCACCTTCTTATATTTGCCAACAGTGCTTCTAGTTGTCTTCCCTTCTGTTTCATTGTTGTATAACAAAGCAGCAAGCTGCTATCTTGAAGAATGCATAAGAAGCTATTTTGTTGCCATAAATTCATAGTTCACTTATGAGGCAGAATGTTGTGAATAATTGTGCACTTCAAAGAAATTGTGCATTTCTTTTCGATCTGTGTTGCCCATACATAGTCATACAATTACTGTATATTCATTCTGTTTTTAATTACACTGGCTATACTAAACCTTTGTCTTTCCCATATAGTAAGTTCTGACTAAGGTCACGTAAATTATAATAGAATTACTGTTGGAATTACAGTGTATTGCTAGACAGTAAGAATAGACTTGAACTGCTGGTTTCACAACTGGAACTACCATGGGATAGGCTTCTACTGCTGTAGAATTTGGATCTAATTGTTAGGGTTTGTTCGACTACTGTTAGAAGATTACACCATTGCCTACTGCTGTTTCCTTTGGGATGCTTAAAAGAAATTATGTGGACAGGCATTTTGGCAGCAAAGTCCAATTTATTTTGTCTTACTGGGCAGAAATTTTGTAGAAAAAGGAAGAATTGCATTTTCAAAGTGGCATTTGCTTATACAACCTTCTTCAGTGCATGAGCTGGAATAGCCACATATTTCCTTCTTGAAGAAATTAATTTGATATAATAATTGAAGGCATGCCATAGTGATATTTTTCAGTATTGAAGTCAACACATAGTATAAATTCTTGCTATTTGAAAAGTTAGGTGCCAATGTAATTAGGTTTGAATGAACAGCGCCTGTTTCATTTTGACCTCATTCTCAATTTTGCCTTATGTGCCACAAATATATATCTCATTTGCAGCAGCAACATAATAGAACTTTGGTCCTACAATTCTGCTGAAAAGACAGACAGGCTGCACTGAAGCTGCTTTACAGCTATTTCAGCCTGTGGAGAGAGAAAAATACAGTATATCAGGAAACCCTTCTTTCATGAAACCTCTTAAAATACCCCCCGCTATATTTTGCTTTGCTTATATGCCTCTATTGAGGATCTCAGACTTTTTATTGTGCAAGTTTGCTCTATATATACCTGAGGTCAATAGGAGAACTGATAGCAGTAATCTTTGAAACCAATTCCTTCCCCCACCCCACCTTTATGCTTGCTCAGAACTCATTTTACTGAGGATTGACAGGTACCTCTGTGTACCATGGATACATAAATAACCCCCATATGAATTCCTTAAGCTGACTATCAGAGTCTGACATCTCAAATTTATCTGCTTTTGTTTACAGAACAGCCTGATTTATTGGTCATCAAACCTTTTCCATTTTAGTTTCTAGACTTTGTTCAAGTGACTGCACATGCAGCTTTTTGGCATTTTCAGTTCAAATCTTTTTTCTCCTTATGGCTTACCATTACTAATGGGCATGTCTTCAGATTAAATTGCTGCTCAAACAAATCTTGACAGTAACATGTGTTTGAATCCAGAATCCCCTTTTGCATAGTATATCAATGTGCATATTTACTTATGCACAAATACAATACATTAGGGAAAAGAATCATGAATTATGGCACACTTGCACATATTTCAGTTCTGAGTTTAATTTTAGAAATTAATTTAGCGATGGGTGACAATTTCATTTCATTTCTTAGTTTAAGAAATATCTTTTTAATAATCAGCATGGAAAGAACTTTGCAAGAGAAAGCAAAACTGATGGATGTATTCATCCCTACTATAAAGCTTCTCTTCTGGTTTATACTTCCATCTATTATACGGTGAGTGGTGACTGATCAAATGTCTCATCAGTTGTACTGCCCTAACTTTGGAAATCCCTCTCTAGGAAGATGCTCTTCCTGTCTTGGTACCATCAACCAGACTGATATTAGTCATGTATCTCATCATATTAAACAGTTGCAACATACTAGCAGGCCTGTTGCATGGAGCCTTAACTAATGCCATGATTTTGGGCATTTTGAGGGCCAAAAGATGAAAGTTCCATGATTCGTATATGAAAAAAAGCTGGAAAATATGTAAGGACTGGCTTTCCCCTTCATGTACTATCTCAAAAGCAGCTTTCATCACAGCAGTTTGAAAGAAGACATTAGTTTTGCAGATAGGCTATTAATGAGAAGGAAAGTGTCTAACATTCCCAAATGCAATCTTATATTTCACATCATAAACAACTGTTGAGCAAATAAGATTGACTAATCCTATGACATATATGGATGGAAGAAATGAAATGTTTGAATAAATTACATGATTAAAATGTTGAAATCAAGTCTTCTGCGTCATGTAATAAAGTATATGATTCTTACCCATCCTTGATCTCCTTCAGTGTAATTTCACAAACACTGCTAAGTAACTTTTGAATTGGCATAAATGAGGTAATTTTAAAATATAAAATGGTGTGTTCACAAATGATCTATGCAGATGTGAAATCTCAGCTAGCAGTATTATGCATTGCACATCTCAAGACTTCTCAATTGTATTTTGTGTTTGAAGGCAGTCTTACATAGGGAATGCAATAATCCTTCCAAGAATCCATCCTTCTACAGTTTGTCTGACTTATTCTTATGCAAAAAGTGAGTCAGAAGTAAGTCACAGAAGAGGAGGCTCAAGAGCTCTGGTTCCAAAACTGGCAGCCTTCTTTCTCAGTTTGTGCAGCCCAAAGAAAGCCTCAAGACACATATACAGAAGAGGGATGTCACTTGTGCAGAGTTTGCACAGGCTCACTTCCTGGTGGGTATAAGCATGAGCACTTGGCATGCTTTCCAGGAAGTGAAACTCTTGGCCAGAAGAAAGTGGGCCATCATCCATGGAGTCAAGCTCAAAGAATTTGATGGGATCCCACTTCCAAAATGACTTCCACACACATTCCTAGTCTTACTATCCCTGTGTGTTTTTCTGAGTACTACATTTTATGTAGGAATGCTATGATACCATGTGCTTATGTACTTTGTACAAATGATTCATTTTATAAGATTAGGACTTAACTTCAAGGTCTTTAAGAAGGAGATTGTCTTGTCTGACAACTGTGAAGTATGGAGCACTTATGACTTGGAGCACTATAAAGTGTTATCATCATTCAAGGATAAAGTACAGTGTGTGCTTATTTTTGGCTTTACCACCAGTTTAATCATACTGCCTTGAAAGTTGTGAAAATTGATCGTAACAATTACAAGCAATTTCAGTCATGTTAAGAAGCTGCATAAATTATTTCACATAAGTTTGAACACCACAGATTTTGAATGGTGTTGAAATGAATTCAAAGGCAGTCAATTACTACTGCTACAAACTCTCCTGAGATACAGCTGTTCCAAAATCTCTGTGAACCAAAAATGAGAGGGCAGAAAAGTAGCAGTTTTCATTTATAACAATCTATTACTCAAAACCTCCCTGCAAAGAGTCTAAGGAATTTGCTTGTGACATAAGAAACACTGATTTCTTTTTCTTATACATACATTTAAACTAATTAAAAACTGTAAAAGTGGCCTTTAAATGCGGTAACACACAGTTCTGATGTGAAGGCCTTTTTCTGCTGAAATATTTGACATTTTATGTCCCTTTTTTACTGTATCCTAGAAAATTAGATTGTTCGTGCAATTAAAAGAGGCTGTTCTGGTAGATCTTAACTTAGTGTTCTGCTACAATACTTCGATTTAATTGCAAGCTGGAAGTTCCTTGGTGAAGAATGGGGACTATCCATCAGTCATCTGGGTGGGCTGCCTGCTTCAAAATGTCACTGCATGTGATGCTGTCTATCACTTGCAGAGTAAAGGCTAACTGCATGTTCTTTAACTACTGATAATGCTGAAATCATGGTGGCAGGTGAATTACTAAGGAGTCAGAAAACACAGATGTGATCACCCAGGTAGGCATGACTCATGGCAAACTACCTGCTGTAATTGATTGTTGGATCTTGAACAATGTTGCAGTTGTAATTTAGGGTTCAGTCCTGTGTATGCTTAGAAGATAAAGTAGCCCTACAACTCCCAGCTAGCCATGGGTCATAGTGAGACTTATAGGGCATCTTATGATTAAATATACAGAGGATTCTGCCTTTAAGCAAAGTACTGCACAGCCATTTTATTATAATTTAAAATCACTGTGGTTACTTCATAAGTAATATGGAGCCTCTTGAAGGCCATATAAAGATGGCCTTTGACAGTAATAGCATTTTGAATCACAGGTGTGGGACTTGTCTCTAATCTCTCTTACTGAAATCCTATATTTGCTGCAGAATACAGATTGCTGATCTTAGTATATTGGAACACAATTTTGCTATTTCCTCTTCTTAATTTCTTTTGTCCTGTTGCTTTTGCGACTTATGCAGTTCATTTGCCATTATTTACAATCCCAGATATCCTATCATATAGATTTGTGCTTCCTCCTTAAATGAATACTGCTATCAATTTATGCTTCCTAATGTTTTTCCTTTTATACCTAATGACAAGGACAAGACCCTTATCTAACACCAGTAAAAAATATGCAGTTTGGGTTGGGAACTTGATAAAAACAATAAATACCATTTTCCTAATAAAATTCAAAATTTGTATATAACAAAAGAAAACATAAATACAATAAATAAATGGCATATTTTATTATGTTGAAAACTGTCCTAGGGATATCTTTAATAGGAGATATAATAATGCCTATGATACAACAATAAAGAAGCATTTTAGATCAGAATTAAAAACAGACTAACATAGAATACAGACACCCACACACGTTCTGTTGTGAACGCAATACACCCAATTGGTACAGGCACTATGGCAATCCATTGGAGGTGAGTAGCCATGGTTGGTTGTTGTGTAATTCAAACCCAGGCTGCTTTGGCGGCTTCTGTTGTGTTGTGTTGCTTTGCTTTTAAACAATCCATCCTAAGAACCCATGTAAGTTTTGTTTAATCCACAATGGATTGTAATTTCATTTAAACACAGCAGTGGGTTATATGTGAGTCAAGAGCAGCAAAATTCCCTTTGCAGCTTTTGATGATCTTGCCTGTGTCACCACCAGTGACATTCCTTCAAAGTGTCCAAGGAGCATATTGGATGGGTTGTCAGTGCTTGACAGTACATTTTTAAAAGAAGAAAAATCCACACCAAATGTGCATGATTGGCTAGTAATTTTTAACAGTATATTTTTATACTTGGACTTGTCCTCATCTACACAGGTCTGTAAAAGAAAAGCTTCACCTGGGCAATGTCTAGAGGGATAACTGGTGTCAAAGGGAGGTTTGAAAGGCAATTGCTATATATGTCTGATTGTGAGCTGTTCAAACTCCTTCTCCTGAAAAAAGGGGGACAAAAAGGGAGCAAATTTATATCAACTGGACCTGTGTCAAATATGACATCAAATTCTTCTCAGATACAATAAATTCTATCTACTCTAGTCAGATTTGTGGGGTGTGTATGTGTGTATGCATGCATGGCAACTACTAGCCCTGTAGAAGTTGGATCAGGTTTTGTACTGAAATTCTTGCATCATTTTTTGTGTTATATTCATATCCTAAACTGGCAGAAGTCTGGTGACATGCTCTGGCACACTCTGGTGATAACACTAAGCTTATTCACTAAGATTTGTTTATTTTTGTAGTATGCAACACTTCTCAGTTTGCTTAGCATATTCTAATAGAGGAAAAATGTGGTATATGAATCTGGTAGTGGAATAAGTGATAGGTGTTTATTTTGTGATGAATACCCTTATCAGACTACATCTGTTTGATATTCCACTTATGTATAATGGACCTTCACTTAACAATTCTATTTTACATTTGAGTATATTGAATCAATAATTTAAGATATGCAGATAATACCATATTACTGGTAGAAAGCAGCAGTAAAATGAAACAAATATTGATGAAAACACAAGAATAAAGTGCAAAAGCAGGCCTGCAGCTAAGCATTAAGAAAACAACAATCATACAACAATTTTCTCTGAAGACCAAGACTAAGATCATCCACACTATTATTTCCTGATCACTGGGTATGAGTGGGAAAGTTAGACAGTAAAGGAAGTGAACAGGAAGAAAATGAATGCATTTGAAACATGTTGCTGGAGGAGAAGCTTACAAATACCCTAGACCAAGAAAAAGACAAAGAAGTAGGTCCTAGCCCAAATCAAGCCCAGGCTTTCTTTTGGAGCAACTTCAAGATATCAGGGGAAATGAAATATGAGCTGTGGATAAATTCCATAAAGAAAATCACAGCCTTCAGTTTACAGGAACTGAGCAGGGCTGTGAAGGACAGGATATTTTGTAGGGCATTCATCTATATGGTTGTCATAAGTTGGAGATAACTTGATGGTATGTAACAATGCCAAGTATTACATTTTTCTTTACTAATTTTCCAGTTGCTCTGAAACGTTTCAGCTAGAACTTGCTTTTCCATGTCAGCACAACACAATCTCAAGATCCTGTGGATAGCAGGAAAAGTAAGACAATTGCTATCAATGTTGCCCCTTGAAACTACCGGAACCAATTTCCCTTAACTCTCCAGAGTTTATAGCAGGCAACACAAAAAGGTAGGGGGAGGATAATCAGCACAGATAAAATGTTCAGTTATCCCACAAATGGAAAACAACACTAGATCAAAATCATTCTGTGTAAAATATGAATCTATGCCTCCATTGAACTGTATAGGTTCCTAGCATTTAAGGCTATGACCATATTCCTCAGGTGCTTGGACTGCAATCTGAAATAACATCTACAAGAAAATAATTTCCATTGAAGATAGGGTGGCTTGCTTCTAGATAAAAATGTAGAGTACTGCAATATTGTCCATCTAAGGGTGTAGGTCAGGTGAAGCTGTGGATCCAGCATTCCAGGACCCATGCAACTATTTCCATGGGGGTTTTGTGCATGTGTTTTTTCTCCAACATCAGTCTCCCTCTTTTTCCTGTCCAAGAAACAGTTGTGGCAAATAGCGTTTGTGACTGAAGTCCTAGAAGTAAGACTTGTTAAGCAAAGAGAGATTCCTTACTTTTCAGTAGATATGTATTGGATCATGCTATGAAATTGATCATGGATACTGAAATTTCCAAAGCAGTTTGAGAGATGGCATGAATATCTCTTGCTCAAAGGAGCAAAGTTTTAAGAAGTGCACTAGTGCATTGTAGGTCTTGGATCTATGCTGGTTTCTAAGCCATTCATTTTGCTTTTCAAAAATAAAACACCACAAGTAACCCTGATCTGAAAATCGTACTGAGTGTACCATTTGTTTGTTTGTTTGTTTGTTTGTTTATTATTAAAATAACTAGTGAAAAGAGCTTTCATAGGAATGACTTAATGTAGGCAATTTTCAACACAGGATTAAGATGTCACCCTATATAAGGCGACAGTGTGGTGTAGTGGTTAAGAGCATGGGACTGGTACTAAAGCAATTTGGGTTCTAGTCCCTGCTCAGTCATGGAACCAGCTGGGTAACTTTTGGCCCAACCTACATCACAGCATTTTTTGATGTGCGGATAAGACTGAGAACAGAAGAAAGAGGAAGAGGAAAGCCATGTTGAGTTCTTCGTAAGAAAAATGGTGGGATATAAAACCAAGAAATAAAGAAACAGCTTTTTCAGGCACTTCAGGTTTACCGACATTTGCAAATATCTTCATAAATAAAAGATTTTACAGCATCACTTTATTAGGAACCATTAATATTGAATTGGGCTGGCACAGATGGGTGAGAATTTCATTTGTGGGGTGGAGTGGTTAACATCATGCTAGTTTCAAAGATGCCCTTTTAACTAGGATGGAATGAAATTGACATTTAAAAAAATTCTGGAGAGAAAAAACTTTTTCTCCATTCCTTCCAGGAAACCATAATAAACAAAGCCATATAAAACAAATCTACTAAAACAGATGCAAACCCATGGAATTAAGGAACACTTTCATGCATAATTGTGTTAGGTTAATGGACTTTTCCAGGTTATATGTATTTGAAGTATTTGAAGAGATGTGTGCCAAATACCTGACAACACCAATTCTAGCAGCAGCACTACCTGCATTAGGTTTTTTTCTGAGAAAAGAATGCAGGGATATGTTACTCATCTAGAGTTCTCAGTTTTTTCCTTTCAATGAGCAATCCAATGGCAATACTACAAGATCTAGGGTAAAGTCCCCGGTTCCTTAGACAATAGACCCCATTGACCACAGGATATGATTCTGAGTAAGGACTGCACTTCAATTTCCTTAAATTATAACTGTGTAGTCTTTCTAGTCTATTTATAATCACAAATTAACAAGCATATATATCCTTCCTAATGTAGCAAACATGGCCTTGGAAGACCTCATAGAGGTCAAAAAAGTGGGAACAGAGAAGGTCAGGATGAAAAATCCTATAGCAGCTCTCTTCCTGCCTCTGGTGGTGCACATTCTCTAGATGGCTGCAGCCTGCCAGAGCATTGGTACTCAGAAGCCTCCTAGTAGTGCCTTTAATTTCAAGGGTGTTCTGTTAAAAACCATGGAGGGCACATCAATCTCCTTACATTAGGCAAAATCAGACCTGGAAGTGTGGGAAGACAAAGAAGCTGCTGAGTGGTAAAGAAGTAAATGCACCTCTTAGCCAATTTAGAAAGATAGGGTAGTTTCAAAAGCAAAACAACAATTAATTCAAAAGAACTCTAATGTGCTCTGTGAATGAGATAGAAGAACTGTAGCACTTCTTGCAGGGTGTGGAGAGGAACTTCCAAGAAACAGTAGGACAGTTTCCACATATCACCAGCACAGCTACTTAACCTGCACTGCACTCCCAATTAGTTCCTGACTACCTATTAGTTTATAAGACATATTCACAATAAACAAGAAAGCCAAAGTCATAACAATATCATGTTTTAGAAGTTAGTGGCTTTTAATGTAATTTCCCTCTTATTAAAAGAACTTTTATTAACATAACACACTGAAACTGCAAATGATCACTTGTAATAATATTTTCTTCAAGTAGAATGATGTTAGATATGCTACTATGATAGACTGTATAATTAAAATGAACAAATTTGATTGAATAAATTTCTTAATTAAAAAAACAGTTTAACCTTTTAACTTCAAATATTTAATTGAATAGTAACAGGCTTATGAATGAATATGATTGGCTATGCTTTAATTTCATGGCAAGAAAGGAACACTGTTTCAAAAATATTTATTTTAAAGATTCAGGACAACATCAAAAAGTGTGAGAGGCAAAAAAGAAGATATGGAATACTGTATTCTCGCAGTCTGGGGAAAAGTGGGGTGGTCCTTCAGGATCAGGAGGTCTTCTTAAGGTTCTAACATAGATGAGTCCCTCCATGCCTGCCCACCGCTAAGATCTGGGTTGGAGGTCCTTCTTCCAGAGTCCTCTTTGAAGGAGATTGGGAGAGTAGCTACCCGGAGAAGGACCTTCTTCATGGTGGTACCCCAGTTGTGGAACATGCTCTCCAGAAAGATGCGCCTGGTGCTGACTCTTTATTCTTTTCAGTGCCAGACCAAACCCTTTTTATTTTCCCAATATTTTAAGACCTAATTTCTATTTTAATCAGGTTTTTAAACTGGATGTGATGCTGTGCCTTTGTTGTTGGACCGTCCTGAGACTTCTTTGTATAGAATGGGATATAAAGTTTTAAATAAATAAAAAATGAATAAGTCCTCAAGAGGATAATACATATCCTGCCCACAGTAACAGTTTAATTAATGCTCACCACCCCAACGTTTCCACAAACGGAGGTCCATGCTACATTATACAAAATGGATGTAATAAGATTATCCAATTTCATTAATAAACTACATTTAATTTTTTGATGAAATGTTTTAAACTACTAACTCTAATCCAATGCATGCCAACTTGGCAGAAATGCCTATTAAGTACATTATTACTTATCTTGGGATTTATTCCAAGATAAGTGGATATAGAACTGCAGCCGAAATAACTTAAAATCTAGTTAAGATAAAGTTTTACATTCTGTGTTCCAAGAGCTTCCTTGATGTTCTGAATCACCATGTAGTATTCCAGTCATTGCCTGTCCCATATAGTGGGGGGATTATGTGTCTTCAGTACTGATTTCTGTGGCCAATGCTATGCTTACTGAAAAGACTGAGCAACTGAAGAAGCATGCATATAGGGCACTAGAAGTCAGGGACCTTGCAAAGTGCTGTTTCATTTTTTTATTCATGTCTACAAATGTGCTGGGTTCCCTCCTTCCTTCTCTGAAACTACAGACAGTTCTTTTCCAAAAGCACTTTATTTCCAATGTACATCCAGCAAGCTATTAACCAAGTGAAAAACAGAGAGGTTCATTGAACCATACTGGAGATTATTTCCGAGGAGCTTCCTTTTCAGTAACCCTGGGCTCCATGTCTTGGGAGATGGGCAACCCTCCTAGATCTACTCAGGAGCGCTAGTTGGTTAGACCTTCTCTCCTGATGCTGTAACATGGGGTCAGAGACTGGGAAAGGCTCTTTTGGATCCTCTCCCCATCCCAGCGTTTTCACGTCCTCTCAGTTCCCAGGGTCTGCCTGAACACATGGAATTGGCATTCTTGAGATAAGCTCTTCCTCCTCTGCCATCTCTATGTCCATAGACCCCATTTCCCAGGCCACACCGTCCACATTCAAACAGTCAGTGTCACATTGTCCTGAAACAAGAATAACTGCCAGTGATATGCTCAAGTTTTTTGCTCCAAGTATTGAGTCAAGTTTCACATCTTTACTTTCAAGTCGAGTCTCAAATCATGGCAAAAAATTTTCAAGTCAAATCTCAAGTTTCTTCTCAAATCTCCCCCACCCTTGCCCCTACTTTCCACTGCCTTCCTCATGCCAAAAAGAAGTACTGAAACCTAACCAGGCTTTACCTTCCCCCTATTGCGACCCCATCCTCAATATCCTGCCCACCCTCTTAAAACGCTCTCTCCCACCACCTCATGCCAAGGCTTTGTTGCGATGGGGGCGGCATAGAAATGTTTTAAATAAATAAATAAATTCCAGGAAATTGACACAGTATGCCCTGGAGTACCTCACTTGTAAAAAAATGTAGAGCTCTTAAGTCGAATTGAGTCACTTGCTTGTTGCTCCTGAGTTGAGTCTGAGTCAAGTCACAACTGCGTTAAGTCACAACACAACTTGAGTTGGACTTGAGAACAAGGCACTTGACTTGAGTCGCTAACACTAACTGCCACTTTCATTCCCAGCAAGATGCTTAGACAAAAATCTTTCCATTTCTTAAGATGAAGGAACAAAATAAATTTTAAAAAATTGTCTGTTTTCATAAAAGAAATGCTATTAGGAGTCAGTAGTATGCCACAGATTTATAAAACTTCTTTACAAAACTGAATATTTGAAAACTTTTTGGTTAGAAGAACCTTCCATGGGAC